GGGGCGATATGCTGACTCTGTAAACCGCTTAGAGAGGGCTGAAAGCCCTATGAAGCGGTATATAAGTCTAACTGCTATTGCTATTGCTATAACTAAAGGCTTATAAAATTGGTTGCAAAATTAATTGGTTTCCCCTTTTGCATCTACCCAATTCAATCACAGTAAAACTGAAGGGTTTCCCCCCCCCACCACTCTTGAAATTTCTGATTAATGAAGAGGTTGCTCTTACTAAGAACAGAAGTTGCTGAAAAGGAAGGAGTGGGCAGGAAGTGCAAAGGTCTTCTCAGATTAAGGATTTCTTGGCAGATTATCTTGAAGTTAAGTCTTGGCTAACCCATTTATAAAATCAATCTCGTATCTGCATATGCCAGCTAAATCTTTGGAGGAATGAGGAGCGGTCAACTGGGATGCCTTATGAAACGGCGGCTTCTCCTTCCCATCTCACCTGGGTTCTGTAGCTTAAGTGTTTCTCAACCTTTAAACCTCTCAACTTTTAAAACTTGGGGACTTCAACTCCCACAATCCCCCAGCCAGCATGCTTAGACCTGACAAAGAAAGAGTTACGCCTGGTTCAAAAAGCCGTCAATCTCCAGTCTTTAAAAGCCACCTCTGCAGCCATTTCTATCTCTATATTTCTGTAGAGAAATGGAGAGGGATGCTGTGACCGTCATAAGGGTGAGGACCAGCCGTAAGTCGCTCTACAGTACTGTCATAACTTTGAACAGTTACTAAACCAATGGTTGTAAGTCAAGGACTGCCTGTAATTATGTAAACCCAATGAATTTTGTATAAATCTAGATTGACTTGTAGGGATGTTTCTCCTGCCACCCCCAGAATCCCTCCAATTTTGGGGTGCCCTGCCCAGATGTTGAACATGCTTATCCTAAAATCCAAATACAAACAATTGTACATTTCTATTAACTAATATCACCCCTCTGTAGCTGTTCGTTTTTTTTTTTTTCTTACCCTAATACTCTCATATGTGGCCGCAGCTTGTTCCGGATTATTAGCGTGCAGTTTAAAAGCGAATCCGGTCTCAACCAGACCTGGAGAAATACACTAAAGGAAGAAAAAACAGGAATAAAACAGGAAGAAAAAAAAGAATCCTATTGTGTGTGTGTGTGTGTGTGTGTGTGTGTGTGTGTGTGTGTGTGTG